CAGCGGCTCAGGGAGGTTCATTGAGCAGTACCTCTTCATCAATCTGATCTGTTCTTCTGAAACAACAGCACATGGACTATTGTAAAAGTCGTTTGTCATTTTGCCGGCTCGTCGCTCTTTCCCAGCGGCTCTTCAGGTTCTCCTTCCACTTTACTCTCGATCTTTTCGTCTCCATGACTCAGAGACTTGGGCGTGGTCTCTCGCCAGTTCTCACTTTTCTCGTTCCTATCTACAATCAGCGACATTGCTATCGGGTTTCGTTCTCGATCACTAATACCATATCTTATCAACTTTTATCAGTTAAGCGTATTAAGCATTTCTACTACTGGTTAGCTTTTTTTCGCAGGAACTCGTTCATCTCGCCAATGTCTCGCTGTACATCTGATCTGATTGTCAGAATTGATAAGGCGGTCGATTCCAGGGTCGATTCCTCTAATAAACTTAAGTTTTCTTGTCCACATGTGGCACATGCACCCTCAGTGGTTTGTGTACATTTGAGGAGACACCTGTTAGTTGTTCTGCCTGATGCCCAGATTACACTGCAAACAGTCAACATTTGGAAGCGTTCTCTCGTTTCCTTACGTCCATCCCCGTTCGTCCATTGCCACCACTCTCACTCTCTGCCAGCCCAACCAGCAACCCAGTCAATTCCTACAATAGCAATTAACCATCTCAGTGGTTTTCCTCCCGCTTATGGCGCTCATGGCGCTTTTCTTTATCGCTATCACCTATCACATTCCGGAGGTCTTGTTCTGATTTCTGTGTTGCCCTTTCTCTATGATCATGCTTGCCATCTGCATCACCATCGCCGCCGCCGACGCTACCGCCACCACCGCCCACGACGGCAATTAGACAATGTTGTCCGGTTTGAGATGATCTGATCACTTTGGTTAATGATAGTTTGTCGCCTCTAGAATGCCCTCCCTCCTCCGCTGGCTGCCCCGTGTGGGCGCACCCTCACAAGCTCCCCGTCCTCGTAGTAACTGACACACCACCACTCACTTGTCTGCCGATGTGAGCATGCTCACATGAGATCCGAACATGTGTTCTGATGGTCGATTTGGTTTCCCTAACGCCAATGCTTTTTGTTCTTTGCCTTGCCATTGCCATGAAACACCTCCTAACTAATCAGTAGCCCTCTAGCTTTCGAGAAATCAAGCCAGCCGTCTTAGTATCGGATGGCATTTGCACCTTTTCTCACGTATGAACTCTTCCCCAGTGCCCTCGAGCAAACTGCTGGCTGGCAGAGCTATTCAATCAGCATTGCCACTTTCTTATCTTGAAGCTGACCGAAAGCCTCCTTAACAACAGCCGCCCTCAACGTTGTCTCGAATTTTCGGTGGAAAAAAATAAATTTTTTCTTATTAAACACTGTTATATGAGCTGGTTTTATGAGGTTTCTCTGATTGTTAATATTCCTATTTTCCTGTATTAGTCAGCTCGATTCTTCGTAACCGACCCCGTCACCTTTTTGAAATTTCAATTTATTTCTCACAGGGTGTTTTTCGAATTCTCATTGACCTGCCTCTCAAGCCCTATCTTTTCTTGCCATTTCGATTTTCGACTAGAATTTTGCTTGTATTTTCTTATAATTTCAGCTTGAACATCCTACTCCCGTTGTATAAAGTTTTATCAACATTAAATGCGTAAGAAGTATACGATGTGACAGGAATTTGCACTCCAATTCATCAAACGCCTAAGCTGAGAACATGTTCCTACACACTTTGCTTTACACCCACCCATGTCACCTCGTTGTCGTACTAGTCGTCTTTGCATTTGTATGCTTCTCGATTCTCGTTCTCGATTCTTTCTGACATTACCCAAATCCTTGTCTCGGTCTCGTTGACCTCACCTAGGTGGATTCAGGATGCTTGGGAGGCAGTTTCGGCTGCTGTGGTGGTTAGCCATATTGGCGACTGCCTCTGCTACGAAACGAAAGCATCGTCAAACATGTGAGTTTCTTCTCGTAGGAACACTACAGTTTTTCAATCATCTATTCACAGTACACACCAACCAACCGACCAAAACCACACCCCAAACTCGCTTGAAATTTCCATTTCCTTTCTTACAACGTGTTTTTGTATCTATCGCGACATTGAGTATGTGAAACTGAGAGTCGTAATGTTCAGGTAGTACAGTCCGTTAACGTAGAGATTCGATGTTTGCACAGCCTTTTCATGGTGTAGCCTTTAGTGGTCAAATCTACCGTTTACGATGCTGACTAATTCTAGCCATACAATGACCGTACACAGCTGTAATTCAGTCCCTAAATAACTGGAACACTATTGACAGCCAATAGTAAAGTAATAGGTATGATTGCGGCTGTGGCGGTGACATTAGCGGTGGCCATTGCGCGATGACCCGGTATGCGACCGAACCGGGTTATCATCACCTCCGATCAGCGGGAGCAACATCGGGAGCCCTAAGGTCGTTTCCAGGTCCAGTTAAGAGGGAACCACTTCGTCTCCTGAGCGAGGCTCACCCCACGACGCCCCAGCCGCGTACAGGGAGCTGTTGTGCCCATGGCGATGGGCGAGCACCGCGCTTTGTTTTGGGTTTCGACGGAAGGAATTCATGCGCGTAGGAGCGTTATCAAGGTTATTCGCAGTGGAATTTCCCCCCGGTGCGGTATGAGTGATTAGACAGAGAGGTGGCTGTGATTAGGCGACTGTCGTCGTCACTGCGCGATTCCGCCACCACCGCCATCACCTTGGCGGCGCTCGTGAAACTGCTGCGTGAAATGCACATATCAGCATACCCTCGTAAACTTCGGCAAAATGTGACACGCGTAGCCGATTACGAGCATTCAGATTAGCCAGTGAGAGAGAGTAAACAAATGATGTGCTGAGCTCAGCGATTTACTATCACTCACAAATGATTTACGATGTATTTGTTTCAGATCAAGACATCGACAACGAAGGCGCTGACGGTGAGTGACCCTTTTATTCATTCATGAACATTGAACGCTTTTCATAAGTATCGATTCAAAGAATACGACCACTGTTCTCTCGTAAACCTGTTGATTGATGGCCAGCTACACACCGGCGACTTCGACCCGGCCGGTCGCAGCGAAGAAGGCGACGTGCAACAAGGGCGACGGCGTCCTTAACGAAGGGCCCCAAGTTATGATTGAAGAGAATAGAAATTAATCGTTGTCACGACGAACTGCCTTAACTTGGACGGCATCGGAGGCCGTCTCCGTCCAGGGAATCTCCTATGATTGTTCCCGAAGCATCAGCATGTCTTCCGCGGTCTTTCTTGCCAAACTTTCCCTCCGATCCCTCGGTAACGGGTAGGTTAGGGTAGAGAAACATAAATGTTCCGGAAGTTTTTGGAGGTCTCATCAGGGGTATCGATAAAGTGAGACGGCAGCCACAGGGGAGCTGAACATTTGGCGCCATTTCGTCCTGTCAAATAAATTTGATGATGAAGCATAATGGACATGATTGACCATCGGTACCCCCCTATCCGGTCGCAGGCACATCAGCACGGAAAACTGATAAAATAGCCTGGTTTTTGAATGGTTGTACTTAAGGAATTCCATGAAAAACGGAAATCACTGAGCGTCAAGCCAAGAATGGAACGATGTTGAAATGTCATCATGAATATCCATACATGAACAACAGGGGATCTCAACATCGCCTTCATTTATAGCCTAATTCGGCTAAGCTGCTGGAACTTCATGGTCGCATAAGCGGACATGAAGTTCCAGCAGAACGGACGTCTGAGTATTTTTTATCGTTGAGTTAGATTTCAAATATATGGCCATGTCAGATCATGGACTGGAAGTGCAGTCGGTAAAGAACCCGATGGAAAAGTCATGGCTCAGATTCATTGCCTCTAGGCTCCCGTTCTTAGTTAGAGGCGCCGGTTGTTGAAAATTTTCCGACATGAAAGTCGAAGACATGGCGTATTCTCGAAAAGTTCCTCAGTGCCACGGTCCTTGAGCATTTTCACTCATTCCAAGTCTGAAAAGTGATACCTTTACTTGACATCTTTCGGTCCACCTGAACAGTTCGTGTACTTTCAGTTTCGTCTGGGTGATAAGATTTTTTGACTGCTAACCTTCGGCGTGTATCGACATTTGACGGTTCATTTCACTCAATATTCAGAGCATCCCCATTCTGTCTCCGATAACTTTTTCTACGGGATCCACCATTGTGGGTGTGTGACCGTTTCGAGCCAAGTGTCATTAGCACACATCACTCAAATAATGGCAATTTTCTGTAACAATCTGCTGGTAGTTGAATGACATCTTTTTATTGCCGAAATATTTGTGGCCAATCGCAAAAGTGGCTCCTCAGCTGGCTGGCCGCTGTTCGATGCTTGCCTGGAGGGGTGATGGATCTTCAGTGATGGATCGACCAATGTTGAACATATGGATGCTAGCCTAGCTCTGCATATGCCTCAGATTTCTTGGCTAATCTTAAAGTGGCACCGAAGTGGCTTCATTGGAGTTTATTCCACTTGGAGGGTGAAAAAGTTGGTCGAACTCGTCCAAACTGTAGGGGGCGGAATAGGGCAGTAGCCAGTGGTGTCGCTTATCGCTTTTTTTGATGGGATTAACTCGAGAGCGATTATACTTGATTCGTAATGCCGTCCGTCCTTCTTCTGATAGGTGCAATACTATCTCCAATGCCCAGACAATAATTAATAAGAATCAACTACATGGCTTATCCTCATCAGAGCACATAAACAAGCTTCATGAAAGTCGATTTTGATGATGGGCTTATGGCCTTACACGATGACTGATTGAAGAGTTCTCCCTCGGGAAATTCCTGGTACCTGGGGATGTGTTTCTTCGTGGGAAATGGTTGTTCGCTTCTTGGCCTGTATCCCTCTAATCCTCTCTGTAAATAATGTGTTACGGAAAATCAGCGTGCAAATAAACTCGCGTGGTCTCTATGATTCTAGTAGGTAGGGGAACTTGAAACTAAAAATGAGTTCTAGGATTTTTTCGGAATTTTTTTCTAAAATAGAAATAAAATTTTAAAAATTTAGAAGTGCAAATATCAGTGTATCCGACGGAAGCACAAGTACGAGAAGGTCGAGAGGTAGTATTTGACTGCCGTGCTCGAACAGCCGACAATTCCTTCTATCCGCCTACAAGGTTGATTTTTTTCAGGATTTTTTGGTATTTCTTTAACTTTTCTGATTTTACTTTGTAAATTAGGCAGTAAAAAAGCATGTATGGTGTGTCTGCACTTTGAAGGTCAAGGGTTACTTCATGAAAAGGGAAATCTGTCATTTTTTCTTCCTAGAAAAGTTGCAAAGTTATGTTCTCCTGAGCAGGAGCTCAAAAAAATTTTTGGTATCCTCTCCATAGACTGATTCTCTGCTTGGTACAAAGTAATTTTGTGGAAGTACTAAGCTTTATCTGTGTAAGCTGATGGTATGGCCATTTTTCTGGTTCGGTGGTGTAATCGAAATCTGAAAAAGTAGAAGATTGATTGATCTTTGGTAAGCATTCTCAAAAGCTGGGATGAACAGCTCTTTGGTGCCTCTCAAGATGTAGGCTATAACAAAGTTTACTGAGTGAGAATACCAGGCCAACTTTAATGAGGCCATTACTTTGACTTTAAAACGCTCCAGTAGAGTTGTCGTTAATCAACTAAAGACAAGCTCTGCCCCGATTGATTAAGCCTTGTACTTCATCAAAAAGGAGTTTCCTTGCTCACCATTTGTCATTGAATAGGTCCATTACAGTTTAAAGTTCAGTGCAGGAAATCTCCTGAGTTCAATTTTTTCCAAGAATTAGTTGCTTACTGTAGCCGTCTCCTCTTAGGGTATGCCTCTGTGAAAAAGTGAATTTTCTCTAAGATTTCATTGTCTTAAGTAAAGTTAAAAATCCATCGAATTAAGTTGTTCGGCAATTTTCGGTTGAGTACTGGTAAAGAATCCAAGGTCTTGTCAGTTACTTCTTATAGCCGTTTGCCGGGTTGTCGGAATATCGCATGCCACTTACTACATTGAGAGCCTTTCTTTTAAAAGATACGATTTTCAAGAATACCTGTTATAGTAGTAAAAGTAAACAGGAATGAGCCTCCCCGTCTGCCATCTCGTCCTTTGTGTCTCAAGAGGTGGCAAAGTGAAAATTTGAAGATCGCAATTATTTGCAACTCAAGAAAAACCCTCAAATGAAATTGCTTCTGCTTATGTTGTTCTGTTCGAATTTATCGTTGAAATCGCTTTGAAATTTCTTTTATTTCTGAAACACAATCGATCAATATTCATTCAATTAATGCACGGAATCTTACTTTACCCTACCCTTTCCAGAATGCTATGATTCGTATTTCAGATGGACAAGGATAGGCGGACCATTGCCTCCACACGCACGCGAATCAAATGGACGATTGACTATAAACCCGGTGTCGTTATCAGACGCTGGCCAATATGTCTGTGTCGCCTCGCATGGCGGAAGGACCGTAGAAGCACAAGCGATGCTGCATGTGATGTCCTGTGAGTCGGACTTTTCCGTTTATAGGCATCCAACAAAGTCGCAAAGCCACTACGTACGATCATCAATGACCTTCGTAGCATAAAGAAACATTTTTTCTGAGGCGTTCATTGGCGACTTTAAACTGCGCCATGCTGTCAGCGCTATCCCCTCGTTTTTGAATGAAAAAATCAGCTCCCTCTCGGGGTTTTTGTTCAAAGGGTTTGTACAACAAAAGCACTTTTACGAGATAGTTTTTGATCGAAAACTTGGATATCGATTGGGAAACACATTTATTATTAGTTATTCATTTAAATGAGCAAATCATCCAGTGATGTTTTCGATGTTGCTAGAAGGACCATACGGAGAAAATATCTACGTTTTTTTTGAAAAAAAACTCTATATGCTCAAATGATCCATTTTTTCAGGGAAAAGTCTAAATACTCAAATAATCAAAATGCTTTTGAAAAATGCCTAAGACCCCTCGAAGGTCATGACCAGATAAATTGGGAAAAACTATACTAGGTTTTGTCGATTTCGATCAGTCGCATTTTCCAGTGTCCTTGTAAGCCAATGGTCAAGACAAACTGGGAGGACTGTTATCCTGATAGATCCATCTTTGAAAAAACAACCCCTCGTGCCTCTGTGGCCACCAAGTTGTTGTTTTCTTGCTTGCTTTCTATTCGTTGTGACCTTTTCAATCCGATCTGATCCAGTCCATTTTTTATGGTAGTGTCACCATTTTTGATGATAAAAGCCATAGATGAAGCCGTATTCTACAAAGTCCAATTAAATGAACCGAATTCTTTGATTTTGAAGGAACGTGTGTGGAAATGAAGATATTTCCAGATGGACCACAAGAGATGCAGAGTTTATTGCCAGCATCCGGTCAATGTATGGCTGATGAAAGAGCATGTGGAAATAACGAATGTGTGAAGGCGGACTACATTTGCGACGGTGAGCCAGACTGTCGGGATCGTTCAGACGAGATGAACTGTCCAGCTCTCCGACAATGCGAACCGAACGAGTTCAAGTGAGTCACTAAGTCTATTCCGGAGGTGTGCGATATGCATAGTAAAATTGGAAGTCTGGTATTTGGCGTGTGACACTATGTTACGCAGTAATCTGTTTAACGTGAAGTTCACGCGCCCGACTGAGCCTGATTTGGGTGACCACTTTTGTAGCCGCTTTACTCTTATTTCCTATGAACTGTGTAGGGAGTATTTTGTGTAAATTTACCCTACAGCTCAAAAAACCGTTCTTTTTTTACTAGTCCGAGACCTTTTCGAGCAGTAAGTTGTAGATGAATTGTGGAGCGGACGAGTTTTTCTATCTTTGGTGTTCCTCTTTGACAGCATCTCCTACGCTCAACTTCTTCAATGTTCCTGAATGTGCCCTTTCATAACGAAGTGCGATTCCAGTCCGGCTCTGAATAGTTTAACCGTTTTTGGCCTAAATGATTCTGATCCTCATGTATATCAGCTTTCTCTTCTTCTTCTTCTTTTCTGCAAATCCCATCTCTCGACTTTGTTTCAATTTTTTCACCCCAAAAAAGTTCTGTGAACATGATAAGTTCTCGATGAAAAAACTTGTTCGTTGCTTTGAACACTCTCTTCACGGGTGCAGCTGCTAGCTGCTAGATTTCTGTCATAAAGCCCTTGCAAGACTGCTGCAGTTGCACTATGGGTCTGTGGGATTCGGTTCTTCTTTCTAGGAGGACGGCCTTTCTAAGAACCGGGGAAGGTGCCACCTACTTGCATAGATGGGGTAGTTTTTGAGAATTTTCTCATCTTGAACCATGCAATACTTTTAGATCTCGACCTTCTGAATACCTTAATAGGTTCGCATTACTAATAGCGATTCTACGCCCGTTACTTGTTGCTACCTAGCATAGCTACCAATCCTCCTATAATGCCCTATGTGGATATTTGTGCTTTTGGATTGAAATTGGTGGATCTAGTATCTAAGATATCGGTATATAGGTGACATATGAGTATTTGAAAGGGTAAAAGTTCGTTGAAGAGCATGATGCGAGTTGTTTGGTCGGCAAAACGTGAACTAAAAGGGGCGTGGCAACAGGCCAAATTACAGAGATCACTTCCGTGCCAAACGAACACCTCCGATCAGAGCATCAGCGTCACAATAGTTTACTGCTGAATGTGATATGATCAGCCCGAAACTGCATTAGTGATAGTAAGATTGATAGGAGAAAACAGATGATAACATTGTTATGGTATGAAATTGACGGGCGAGAGCTTATCTTTATGCACCGGTCGAATTACGTTTTTCTTTCACACTGGAATTGTCGGACCCATTCATGATGAGGTTCAAAGTGGGCAGAAGCACTAAGGAGTAACAATCTTACTTTAGCATGAATCGGAGTTAGTTAGAGATACACAACCCTTCTTGTACCGTATCTGTGGGGTTCCCCAGACTCAGGCACCACTTCTGTGAAATGGCATTGTGAGTTAATTAAAAGCTTACAGTCTAGGCTTAGCAGTAGTGTTTCCATCATAACTTATTTACAAATTGGGTGGTAAAGCTCTTGAATCAACGTATACCCCTCAGGCTTACAGTTTTCATTGATAATAGGTAAACTGAATGCGTATTGGACGTGAATGTTTACACTTGTATTGTTGAGAAGTTGTAAGTAACCCAATATTTTCTTGAACAGCTTCTGGTGATTGGATTTCGTCCAAGCCAAGCCGATCTTTCCATTTCTTGGGGCATGCCATTTGTAGGCACAGTTCACGATAAAAATGGTTTCGGAGATTTCACCATAGTACGAATTCGAGGCTTCCCCTCATACCATGCATGTCATTATAAGGGCGATAGACGCCCTGGATAGGGCACAATAAGAAACTAGGGATTGTATCGTGTGAATGCCGCACCCCTAGTGGACGAGTTTCAACGGCTTTGTAGAGAATGCACCATTCATAACGGCCAATGTAGAAAGTTCAAACAACTTGTCATGACTCATAGCGACAGTGAACGGCAACTCTGAACTGTCACGGCTTGATGTAGTTAGCTCTTTGCACCATGGAAGCAAGTTAAATCTCGTCCAAAAACCTTTCCATGCTATCCCTGTCGCGGTGATCTCGTACAACATCCACTTCCGCTACTTTTGAAAGGCTTAAAGTAGGCGGATTTTCTCGCTTTTTTTCGCCACCGAAGTACTCCTCTACATTAACAATTCCACTTTTCTAGCTGAAAAGAGTACCTCAAAATTATCGTGAACTGTGCCTTTGATCGTAGACATTTCAAATGGTTGAGCCTTGTATTTGACCGACATTTTCACTGAAAACCGACAAGGTCTATTCCTTTGGATAGTTACCCCTTGCGTTTATTTCAATACTCTCATGACACTAATTAGTCTGGTCGGATCCGATTTCCTAAACTTTTCAATGTACTCCAAAAAGAAAAATCAAATTTCACCCTGTCTGGAAAAGAATCAAGAATTATAGAGATTTTTAAGAGATTTATAGGATCAATCGATGTAAAATTTCAGATGCCAGAACCAACGATGTGTTCAGAAGATGTGGCTCTGTGATGGAGATGACGACTGTGGGGATAATTCCGATGAACAGAACTGCGGTAAGACTGATTCTCGATCAGATGGTACGATGTTACTAGTTTCTGGAGGGGAGACGGGCGTTAGGAACGATTTTGGGTAATCGATTCGCCGCACCCGGCTGTCGCGGACCACTCATTCGCCGTTATTACAGCTCNCTACATTCCTTCGCGCGCGACGCCCCTCTCACCGCGACGCGATCATTTCGTTCCTAACGCACCACACCCTTTCTGGAAAGTGTCTAGAACCTCAAAGAGCTGTTTAGCTCTCTGATCAATGAAAGAGAATTCCTAAACGTCCTAATTTTTCAAGGGAATCTTCTTTTTTTTTGTAGCTTCGTCATTGAAATGCATCGATGAACAAACCTGATGTTTTATCTGATAGCGATAATTTAAGGCGAGAGAAATCGCGACATTTCATGAATGATTAGCCAGCCAACAAGATTCGGCCAATATCGTTGTCATCGCGCTATCACACATCGAGGGGAAAAGGAAAACTTGATGTAGAATATATATGAAAAGAAGTCCTTTTCAGGAGTCCAAGAAGCAGGAGAAATGTGCAAAAAGACTGAATTCCAATGTCGTGATCAACGGCAATGTGTACCATCATCGTTCCATTGCGACGGAACCAATGATTGTCGTGATGGCAGTGATGAGGCTGGTATTCCTACAGTAACTCCTACAGTTTCTCCCTTAAATCTCATTAAACAGTCGTCGGTTTAGGTCGGATGTGTCCAACCGACGGTCGTCGAACCACCAGAGACCAATAAACAAGTCGCTCAGGGATCCACATTCCAACTCTCATGCAGGGTACTCCTTGTGACATTCCTAGCAATATATCCTCCAAAATAACTCCTATTTCAGGCTGTCGCCGTTCCCGAAGCATATATTAACTGGCGACTGAACTGGGGCCCTGTTTGCGAGCCACCCCGTTGTATTCAAGCTTCTGAAGGCGGTTACGGAACTCTCACTGTTACCAACGCACAGTACGTTCTGTATTTCTTGTATTCCTTTCCAGAGTTCCTTGATTTTTCAACTATTTCACACTTTCTTTTACCGACACATTCCGATAGTGTCACTGTGAATTGGAATAGGCAAACTTATCCGTTAATTGGGTCATAACTGGCGCCATTGACTGATGCCCAGTAATCTCCGACATCGGAGTAGGTGGCGCGATTGGTCTGCACAAACAAGGGGTGCCTAGCTAGTCACAGTAATGACTTGGCCGATTGGTCCCTTTTGTCAGACCACGTTGGTGCCGGCGTTTAAAAGTTACTGGTTGCAAGTGGCCACTCAGAGATCATGAATATTTCCCTTGGATTGTATTTGAGGGTGGGTGGGTAGATTGTGAGTGAGAGCAGTTCAGGGGACCGGTTCAGATCACCCACCGCCATCATCATCATTGTCGCCTGCAATGGTATGCAGTCGATTGATCTGTCATGTTGGCTGCACAGATATGGAAGTGGTGGGTGGGAGAGCTGAGAGAAGCAAGAAATTCATGAAACGTCGCTGCGCAATCACCACTCTCTGCAAGAACTATCCCCATCGATAAGGAATATCGGCGATGATGAAGAAATCCCTTCGCGTACGATGTGTCGAGGGCCATGGTGTAGCTCCCCGACCGAATATCAAATCTTCATGCGCGCTGAAAACGATTTTTCATTCCGATTCGATTGATCCAAGGACTATTACGGGATGAATTATGGGCCGAAAGGTGGGTTGAAGGCTACCCACACTGCTCTTTTCCATGTTGGAGGGGAAGGGCTAAGTCCAAGTGTATGTTTCTTGATGGAACGGTCGCAGTAACCGATCATATTGGTAGGGGTACAGATCTCATCGTTTTGTTACTCTTTGGAAACTTTCAACGAGCCCCTTCGACGGGTACGAAGTGACCCACTCAAGAAACGGTCTGGACTTCAGCTCCTACATGGTCATTCGACCCGTGTTGAATTGAATGGGGATTCCAAGAATAGAAGTGAAGTATATATTGTGTCGAATTGAACCAGTTGATTACCCTTTTCTTGTATTCCGCAACGAAAATCAAAATAGTGGAAGAAGTCTGATTTTCTTGGCTCCTAGATCTCTGGGCAGACATAGGATTGCCCAAATTTCCCTTCCCGAATGACAAACCTGTTTTCAAATTTCCTTTCCCTTTCTGAGCATTCAGAGGTGTCTATGCAGGCGGCCCTTTTCTTCTGTATTTCGGAAAATTGATCGGGAGAATTGACGGAAACTTTCTCAGCGCACTGGAGGGTCCTTTGGGAACTTCCCATTCATGTAAAAGCCTCGCCGATTTCATTCTCCTTTGTAGATTGGTGTATTGGTAATGAGCACGGGAAGACCAAACAAGAGCAGCTCACGAGAAAGGCAGGGCAGGGGCAAAAGGATTCCATTTACTTTTTCCTAGCCTGAATGGTGGTTTTGAAGTTCGTGCACTGGTCTGCACCTCTGAATTTTGTGCTTTTTGGTGTTTGGAAGGTTCACACCTGCTTCTCTCGGGACGTATTAATCAAGAAATCTTATCAGGTGCCAGCTGTTCAGACATAAGCCCCTGGGCGCCGTCATTAGTGGTTTTTTACGAGCATTCACCTGAGCCTGACCTGGTGATGAGTCACAGCCGCACGCCGGGGCATTCGATCTTCGATGAGACTGATTACTTTCGTGAGGAAGTTAAGGAAAAGCTCCAATGGCTCCTGACCCTGATGGCTTTGATTCTCTAGAGAGGAACGTTCAAGATGGTCTGGAGCGACGACCCGAAAAGAAGCACAGAAAGAGAGGAATAGCCTCTTGCTCCTAAAGAGAGTACTGCTGGAGCCATGGTCAGAATGATGGCCATCGACTTCTGGTGGTCCTTTCGTGCGGGATAACGCAGTGGCTCCACGGTATGGATGAGCCTCTGAAAATCGGGTTGGGCCGGGTCTTCCACTACTCTCTGTGAGTTGTTAGCAGGGCGGACCAGACTGGACAAAACTCAGGAGTGGATCTGCTAGTAATTATACCGTATCAGCGCATATCAAGTATGTCAGTATCAGTAGTATCGAAAAAGGGTTGGAAGCGTAACGTATGCCATAGTTATTGATTAATGCTATGTCTCTAGGCCATTTCCATTTCATTTATAACCCATACAACGTCTATATGGTGCCCGGCTTTGCAAGGTCGTCACATCTAAGACCAGTTAGCACATTCATTCATCCCCCCTCATCGTGACCGACGGACGGACGATTTGTCGCCCAAGTCATCATAACGAGAGATATTAATTCATTGGCCACGGCCAGTCATTCAACCTGTTCGCAATCACATGATGATAGCAAAAGATATGAACATAAAAGGCAATCAATAATGGTAACTTGTAAAATTTATTAATGGTTTTTGTGTGGGCAGTTGATGTGGGCTACAGTAACTGGAACACCTGGAGTGGTAATGGAAGAACTAAACGGGCTGAAGATTAGATGTAAAAGTAGTAGTCTTGAGGCGCCGTACAGGTTTCCACTGGAATGTCCGTTGGATCGAATCCTTCACTGAGCGTGAGTGGAATTAGTAATCGCCTTCTCTGACCTTAGAAGAGGTGTCAAGTCTACTGGGAAGAAGAGATAGAGTGTCTTGGATATGACCGTCTTGCCCGTCAGAGGGACACCACGGCATGCCAACTACCGTCAATAGTCTGTCTCTGGGGTACTGTGCACAAGTCGAATGCGTGGCTCATCCAGTTATTGATTAGCACTGAAGACCCCCTTTACGGTTTTTCATGGATATAATGGACATCGTACATGTGACCACTAATATTCGTCATCGAATACCTTACTCATCTATATTAGAAGTCTTTTTGATCAGATTCGGAGCTCGAGAAGGCTTGCCCACCCTTCAGGAGCTCAGGTGCTTTGAAGAAGAAATTTAGACCAATTTCCACAAAGTAATTTTGCAAAACCGTATCGATTTCCTATACGTAGCCACCCACTTTCGATTCGATCCAAAGAAAGTGGTCATGGAGAAGGTTTTGATGGGAAGACTCATTAATCAGTAGGATAGATGAGCTTGACAGCCGATGGCAATCGATATGTCCCCCATAAATCGATTTTCCTTTTCAGACCGATCGATCAGGGAGCTTACACTTGTGAAGCGATAAACGTGAAAGGTCGTGTGTTGGCTACACCCGACTGTATTGTCCGAATTGTGAACATCCCAGCACCGGAACCGCCACGTCCACAGATCAGATGCGATCCTCATGGATCCGTGTCTCCATACCCAGATCAGACCCAGACGTGTACTTGCAAGGTGAGTCCCCAGAGAGTTGTCCCAAATGGTACCTCATGTCCCATACCGAGTCATTTCTACCTCCACGTTTTAGCCACTTGTCACTGGACCCACGTGCAGTGAGTGCCGTCCAGGTTCATTCCATTTGACCGAAAAATCACCTCAAGGATGTCTGAAATGTTTCTGCTTCGGTATTACCGATAATTGCCGTTCCAGCAGTCACTACAGGACTCCGGTTTGATAATTTTACCTCTTTACTTTTACTTGTCTCATGTGTTCATTTACGTCTCTTTTATGTTTGTTTACAATTACTGTAAAAAAGTAAGTCGCCACTGTGTTCTACCACTATTGCGACCACCTTTATTTGGACTTACTTACGAACCTATTTTGGGGATTTGCCAGTGGGTGTATTATGAAATGGGTATTGATTTTGCGCTTGTGTGATCGATACCCTTCTCACATATATGTCTTTTCCTTCCACCTTCATATATTCATCCAGAACGGTTTTTAAGACTGAAGGTCCCCTCATTAGGTAAAAAGGCAAACTTTGGGTTGAACTACCTACTTGTAAAAAGTGGTTGAAGTCAGGAAACCTCAGAGAGGTACCACTGGGTTAGGGATTCAGGTAAGCAGCCATGGTGTACATGGCTTATCCTCGAGGACCAATGTTCATTTGAAGGCCGTAGTACTCATTTGTGAATTTTAGCAGAAACTATGATGGGTAAGCATGAATTATGTGGAGATAGGGGTTAGGGCGAATTCTGGGAGTTTTATGAAGCGCTCGGGTTCCTGCTGATCCACTCTTCCTTACGATAGTAGATTTGAACAGTTGCAATTTGCACGTAGCCAGCGCCCTATATGCCTGCGAAGGTTTTTTCCCATACCTACCTGCATAGGTAGGTACAACCAACAAGTATTCGTTAATGTTTCTGATTTTTTCTGGCCATTCGTTACAATTTATGGAGACCTACGTGTTGTACGTCGTCTTCAAATAAGAATTCTGCTCAGTGTCTCTGTTTCATTTCAGGATGTCGTCTGTGTAAGTGTCGTCTTGTTCCGGTCCTCAATGTCTACGTGCTATCGTTTTGTACTTCTAGAAATCCCTGACTATCCTACCCTGACCGTTTTCTTGAGGCTGTTTTCGCATTTCGATCCAATCAACTAGTACCTGCACATTAGGATAGGTATTGATTTTACGCGTGCACGTACTTGTGGCACTGTAATGAGATTAAGTGAGAAAACAGCTTCATTTGTGTATCTCCTCTCAATACCTAACATTACTCCTCTTCATACAATGTAAACAATATGCAACTAACAATCCATCCTGCAAGAACTAACGAATTCCTGCTCTTCGAAATTTCAATCAAACTAAAATCCTTCATTTAAGGAACATCTCGAGTTCACTGGCAGCTCTGAAGGGGTTGTGTTGTCGGACCTTGAAGAAAGGGATATCGATCGATCGAATGATTTCGATTACTCTAAAACTGGTTACCTAACCTATACTTCACAACCAGTTGGAACGAAATATTGGAGACTGCCTCAGACGTTCCTCGGGAATAAAGTCAGTTTTTCTTATTCTGCCTCTTAAAACTACCTGGGCTATACAAATTCAATGCCGTTCAGGTAACTGCATATGGAGGAAAAATGGAAATCGAAATCGAGTTCAGCGGAAGTGGTCAGATGAACCGCGAGCCTATGTTGGTCCTTAAGGTGAAGCATCGGTTCTTTCTCAAAAATCCCCTTGAAACTTGCTGATGTCGTGTTTTCAGGGCAACCAAATCGTCCTTGCTCATCATGTTAGGGATCAGGAACGGATTTTGCGTCCAGACCGACCAAATACCGTCACCTTGGAAATCTACGAAGTCTGCTGGATCTATCTGGAAACCTGCAGCTCTTTCACTGAATTTTTCCTATTCAGACGAACTTTGTCCAATTGAATGGAGCTCCAGCCAGCCGTGAAGATCTGATGATGGTTCTTGCTGATCTTGATGCTGTTCTTATCAGAGCCAGCCATATGGACCAGCAGTACTCGACCAGGTAAGGCTTTTTGACTGTATAGCACTACCGTAGAAAGAGTCTTAATAGTCTGGAATCTCTGATTTCTCTTCTTTTCCGTGCCTCCACGCTACTTTTCCCACCAGATGTTGGGAAAATATGTTTTGGTTATTTCTTGGTTTGTTTTTGTTTATTTTTGTTGCTTATGGTTGATCGATGTGATCTCAAAGGTCCGCAGCTCCGAAAAAGGGACCTTAACCCTTCCTGGTTGACCATGAATTTTTACACTCTACGTGACTAAAATAGCTCCAGTTCAACTCAGTATAGCGCCACTTACATCAGTGTTCTCATGTTACACAACTTGGTTTACACTGTAACCAGATTCAATGATTAGAAACAGCTGGTAAATACTTTTGTAATTTGCCCCAATGTTTTACTGGTGACTGGTTTTCCTCCACTCTTAGCATAGGTTTTTCTTCAGGCCTCAGGTATTCTCATGAAATTACCTAGGCCGTGGGAGTTATGGAAGCGATAAGTAAAGTAGGCTGATCACTTTTCCGAGGCTTGGTCTCTGAAAAGTGATCTGCTGTCGCCTGAGCACAATCACCACGGCCATATGGTAACTGAGAGACTTTGAAGTAATTTATTACTGCTTCCCAGCTTCCCAATGAATGTACTTTGATCACTGAGAACTACCGGGGAAGTAAAGAAGTGTCTTCGAAGGGCATAAATTATACAAATGTAATTGAAACGGGCACAAATAAATTTTTTTTTTCAAATAAAATACGACTGAAAATTGATATTTTGTCTTAAGGGAGTGGCCAAAATACGAGTCGAATAGGCAATGTTTGGACATGTTGGGAGATAGCGGGATGATTCCTTTTTTTCTGTATAATTTCATTCCATCAAGGCATTGTCGCCCTACCCGATTGAATGAATGAAACTCTAAAGTTCTCCAGAGTTGCCATTGGGAGCTGGATTATTTTTCTTTCATTCGTTGTTTTTTTTAAAGTTGAATCTGGCGGACAGTAAACTTAAGTGCCCTCGAGCTTAATTTCCGATCAGCAGAGCCTTGATAAGGAATTAATGCTTACAAGGTTAATTATTAAGTGAATTTCTGCTGAGTATTTCCTGATAAAAGTTAACTAACTATTCCGACCAAATACTATTGACCAAAGCATAACTGGCGATATAAAATCCGGATATCTGCAACTAAATTTAGCAGAGTGTTGTTGTCGTAAGCAATCAATTTATTTCGAAAGTGAGACATTCAAAGTAATTGAGAAAGAAATTAGTCTGTTTAGAATATCTGGACACATTTGCTTAATGAACTGCTCTTAGATTAAGGCGCGAATAAATCGGATCGGATAGTCACCTCGGAAATAATCTTGTCCTGATACAGGAGCTGACGTCGACGATGATTATACAGGAAGCCTGTTGGCATTAGATGCTAAGCAGACGATGAGCTCTCAGTTTCCTCGATCTCCTCCTCTTTCCGGATTTGAAGTGCTATATTCGATCAGATGATGTAATAAGGCGAATATGAAGTGCTTCCAAATGATCACTCGCATTTCACGTTCATGCACGTCCTCCAGCTCAAGGTTCACCGATCTCCTCCTCTTTCCGGATTTGAAGTGCTATATTCGATCAGATGATGTAATAAGGCGAATATGAAGTGCTTCCAAATGATCACTCGCATTTCACGTTCATGCACGTCCTCCAGCTCAAGGTTCACCGAGTACTGTTCGATGAGGCTTTCCGCTAAGCCAAACCATGTGCCACGGATTTTTTGCTGTCCACTTGGTAACCATGTGACTCGCTGCTTTCGACCACCGCTTTTTCGAGCAAATACCAACAGATGTTCCTGAAACACATAACCATTTGCAATGTAAGAATCTCTGGGTTTTAATGATCTGACTCATACAGGGCCAGAGAAGATCGGGAAAACCTGGAAACCCTCTTGCAGTAGGGGCTTTTTTAGGAGGACAATGGCCGCAATCATGGTGTTCGGCAAAGCAATCTCTGCCCTATTTCTTCAAGCTTTACCGGGAATCCTGCTGTGTCCAGAAAGCAAGGTTGACTAATCGAACTAGGCTCGGAAAATAGGCAGAAATGGATAGGGTTGATGGAGAGGCAAGAATTCGTAGCCTTCATTCTGCTCATAACGGTTCTTCGCTACAGTATTTGCCTGATTTGGTTCCAATTGTTCTCTAGTTGTTTCACAAACTCAAATCTGAGAACCGAGGAGTTCGCCTCTAACCGACTGACGACTTTCAAGAACTGCCCCTTCTGATGGCTAGAATAGAAGGACGGCTTCTTAACACGCTTTAACAATAAAGGGGTAACATTGCCCTGGGTGGAAAAAATGGAGGGCTTTTCTTTCGGTCGAAATTAACTTCATTTTTCAAACACCGCATCACTTAGAACGCTTCATCTCAACTCTTCTCAATCTCCCTGAAATTCAAGACATTATCTAGTCTGCCCTTCCTCCCTTTCTCAACCCTTTTCCCAAACCGGACTGACCTGCCTTCAGATGGAGCTCTAGCAAGAGTTACGCCGTCACCCTTCTACTTCATGGGCCTTGTTCAGGAAGGATGACAGAACTAATAAAGAAAAATAACTTGGCTGAATTTGAAGATTTAGCTTGCTCCTCCCTTCATCGTTTTTTCTAAGTTTGAATGAGAAAAAACTTATTCGGACTGAAACTCCTACTTGGCTTACCTTATTCTCGGTAATCTGTGCTCGTCGCTTCATTCCATCTATCAAACCGTCCAGCATCTCTTCGAGACGTAGGGCTTCTTTTTGCACCAAATCATAGTCAGTACCTTCTAAATGGCTATGATTAACAAAGGATGCTTCTTTCATCCTCTCTAATCTGAGAGATTAATTCAACAAAGTGCAGTGTTCACAAGCTGGAATTATTACTCGCCTAGAATTCTTATAGTTAGAGGCTTACTCCCAAGACCGACGCCGTACTTTATACATTTGGTGTCTTGAAAGTAGTAGAAAGGGGTAGCCCATGTAGTCCTACTAAACAGATACAAAGCGAGCAAAGAAACTTTTCAGTGGAAATGAAATTCATCGAGCGGATCTAATTCACACTGGAATTACCCGGTTCCTCAAAAGAAAATGGCTACGTGGCCTAATCCAAAAGGATTAATCAGTGATAAAGCTTGGGATCGTCACGGTTCGAGGATCCAATAATATTCCCAACATAGGCAGTTTTTCGATTTTATTATGTTATAATTCTTCATGTAAACTTTAATAAAGGGGATTAGTCCCGAGTAGATTAGCATGATTCTATGTAATTCATGATTTTCTTTCTTCGGAGTAACAGGCCTATGGTCTGTTACTCCGAAGAACTATCGAATTTTTAAAATTCATTAGCTCTGCGTCAGAAACTTGTTCTGAAGATAAACACAGAACGTTCAAAGGCAACTATAGGATCGGTATTTTGCATTGTCGCAATAATAAAAAATTTGAAGACGTCAAAGTCTAGTTAGAGATGGGTTTCTGGCGTTGATCAATCCCGTTTTAGGATGCGCCCAAGCATTCGATTTCATTCAGAATAGCAGTGATGTTTGAATGCGTATGCGGTCTATAAAATGACTTGAGGTACCATCCGATGTAAATTCAGGGCTTTCTCCTCGAAGATATGCCTGGCACCAGTCAGCCGCTCTGAAGGATGGTAGGCCCGGATGGATGTTGAGCAGGGGCTCGAGTTTCGGACCATGTGATAGTGCTCCAATTCCCACTACACTGATTCCGTTCAGAACGCTGGAGTAATATTTGAAAAGCGGAATGTACGCCTTCATAGGAATTCCCGCCCCTGAATCAGTCTAAGGTCTAGTCTAGAAAAGAAAGCGTGCACGTACAACAGTGTCCGTCTTACTTTTAATGGAACTCGTTAGTCAAATGATATATAACGTTACTTCCAACGGTCTTCATGTTCATTATTGGTTTGGTTTAGAACCTTCGCGTTCTCCAAGCAAAAAAAAATTCCACAACAGAAGAATTAATTGTATCGCTGGAATAGTTTCCATGGCTGTGGGCCCGGTAGGGGGTGACTCAGGCAAGCGGTTTCGTCGGGCAAAAGGACAGCTTTGTCGACGGAACGTTCAACTGCTTCCGAATTGCCCTTGGCTATCAGGCCCAAAACGGCGCCCTCACCCATGCGCAAAGGATACAAGAAAGTCTGATAAATCTTTATAACAATAGAACGAGTTCTTCCTCCTTTGCCGGACACTCTTTCCTGACCGCTTCCTTTTAATACCTCATGGAATGACTGGAGGAAGCTTACAGCCATAAGCATTCAGGTCTCAGGGGATGGCTACATAGTTATAGGCACGTTCGTCGGGTGAAAACTAATTCGGTCGTCTCATCATCTTTGCTGCTTCCCTCAGAAGTCACGAATTTTCTTAATAAGCATTTACTGCATGGATGCTTTGGAAAAAGTTTCATTAAGGCTCCATTTCCATTCTAAAACTGCAATTCACTAACCAGGTTGGCAATAAATAGAGTGGCTATTACTTTATCGAGCCATAGTTCATCACTTGACTACCTTACTGCCTTGAACCAACTCTAATGAAAAAAAGCGATTGGNGGCTACATAGTTATAGGCACGTTCGTCGGGTGAAAACTAATTCGGTCGTCTCATCATCTTTGCTGCTTCCCTCAGAAGTCACGAATTTTCTTAATAAGCATTTACTGCATGGACGCTTTGCAAAAAGTTTCATTAAGGCTCCCTTTCCATTCTAAAATGGCAATTCAGTAACCATTTTGGCAATAAATAGGTTGGCTGTTACTTTATCGAGCCATCACTGGAGTGCCTTTCTGCTTTGATCAACTCGAATGAAAGAAAGCGACTGTCAGGGACTTCCTGTAAAAGGGCGTTCACTGAGTTGTCGTGTGGGACTGTGTAAAATGCATGAATGGTCTCTGGTCTAAGCAAGCGTCTTTTGTATTCAAATCAGTGCTTACCTTTTCTGTAGTTTTGGTAGTACTTAGTACGCCGGAGCCACATTGAGCCCTGATGAGATGGATAGGATCTAATCTAAGATGTATTACCTGCACACTGTGGCTCCGATGTACTAACTGCTACCGCCTTCCCCTATTTTCTGCAGAATTTTGTATCTCCCGAGTATATCATCTCCTGAACTCAATGTTTCGCTTATCACCCAGAAATGATTTTCCGAAAACACTTATGATACTGATTTAATGACGATCTTGTTAAAGTCCTACCTAGCTTAGACACTCCGCTGCCAGTGAGTACCATCGTCCGCTTCGACCGATTCAGCCAGCTATGACATACATGCTCACAAAAGTGTGCATTTTTGAAAAGTACATTTCGCCAGAGTAACGGCAAAATGTCGAGTTCGTATGCACTCATTATCTGCAAATATAATTATAAGTTAAAGTGGTTGACATAACACAACTCTCTAGAGATGCGCCTGTAGTGGTTCTCCCCTTTGGGTCATAGAACCTCTTGAATGTGCGTTCGGTCCTTGACAGTAATTTATGCGACTGGATGTTCTTGCTTTCCTCTGAATACAATTCCCTTACGAACCTCTTATAGAAGACTTGGATGGCCCAGGGATAACATGGTTTGGAGAATTAGCATTTGTAAAGCCGGTTTCCGACAATCACCCAGCGCCCGAATTACCTAATAAGTAACTAACTAGTTACCACAATCAGAATCGGTTAGGTATTCGAAGGAATAAGTGAATCTTGAAATATCCTAATCACTTGTTTTCATGATGAAAGTGGATTGGAGATCGATGTATGGCTATCCAATTTAGCGGAGTTGTCTAATTATTCACCCAACATCTGAAAAGCAAGATATACAGTGCGTTTCATAATTATAAGGTCACCCTGAATTTTTGCACTTTCAAAAAAAGTTATCATTAAGGATTTTTTCTAGCATCATGAACAGATTCCCCGGCACGAATAACCTAGGTATCCGTTTCTTGGCCGCTGCTGCATTCTTCTGAACTTTTTTAGAACAGTTTATCGGTTTTTGCACCGTTTCATAATTATAAGGTCACCCCGAGAAAGTGAACAATTATTAAGGAAAGAGAGGAAATTTCGTGTTT